AATCGCTTGAACCAGGGAAGCGGAGGTTACAGTGAGACGAGATGACACCACTGCACTCCAGCCTGGATGACACAGCAGGACTCTGTCTCAAAAACAAAACAAAAAACAGTGCACATGATAGGTGTTTAGTAAATACTTACAGAACGACTGCAACAGCTATTCTCCAGAAAGCAAAATAGCCTCTCTTCTGCTAAGCATGGTTCTCACTGCCTAAACCTTTTCATTTCACCTGTTTTTAAGTCCTGAAATTTTATCGGTCCCAGTTGGAGAGGGCAAAGCTGGCTTATGATGGAAAACTTGGGGTGGGAGTTGGGGAGTCACTGTAAGGGGCGGGGGGACAGTGTAGCCACCTGAGGCTGGAAGCAGTGATTCTCTCTGTTACAGTAATGTGAGCCAGCCTCTGGGGAGGTGGCAAGTGGGAAGCTTTAGCCCAAGGGAAGCAGGCACCTGGGAAAGAGGGGAAACGCTGAGAAAAATGTATAAAGGTAGACCAGTCAACCATCCAGTGCAACCAACATTCATGGGGCCTTTGCTTAAGTGCCACGCATTGTACAAGGTGCCAGAGATCTCAAATCCCATTTGCCAGAGTCCTTTACCAGAGACTTCATCATGCCAACACGATAACACAGCACAAAGCCAGTTTTTCCCTCTCAGCTCACTCTGTCCAATGTTGATTTTAAACCTTTCTCTCCTCTGCAAACCTTGACTACTCCCTCGAGTCTTACCAGGAAACTCTACGTCCTACTGCACAGCAAAAAAACAGAAATCATCAGACCACACCACCTCTACTTCCTGCTACCACACTGCGAATCTTCCTGCATGGGGCCCCTGCTATGCCGCTTCCCTGCCAGAGTGGCGGCAGAGATGACCTCTGAATTAGGCCAGTCTCCTCACCTGCCCTTCACCTCTCCTGGATTCCCGGTCCTTTTGCCGCTCCTCATATGAACAGAGAACCTTCCCCGCTTACAGTCTTCCCCCTAAGGCTGAGTCTCCCTTTCCTCAAGCTGTTGTCTCTGCTGGAAACATCTTTTCCTCTCTGCCCACTTCTTGCTGAGCTAAACTCATCCAAGCCCAGATGAAGCCTCACTAATGCAGCTAAGCCTCTGTGTGCCTCCTCCATTAAGTTAGGGTCCCCCTCCCTTATGACATGCCTTTTAACCACCTGTACCGCTCTTTAACAGGACTTGCTGGGAATGTAATTAATTGTTTATGTCATTCCTCAGCACGGAGAAAGCAGTGGGATTGTGGCTTACGTTTTTCAAGGTGCTGATGCAGAGCAAGCACTCAAATATCTGAGTCAATTAATAGCTGCCACTTGGGGTGCCCAGAATGCGCTAGATGCCATAGGAGCTATACATGGGTTGTTCCACTTAATCCACACAGCAGCCTCATGTTTACAGGTACTCACTGTAGTATTCATCTTCGTATTTTACAGACCGGGAACCCAAAGCTCGGGGGGTGACACAATGTGTTTGAGGTACCACAGCTGGCAACTGCTGGGTAGGGATTCAGGCTTGTCTACCATCAAAGCCACCACATCACACTCACGTCTTACTCTCCACAGCTCACTCACTGCCTTACATAAAGGAGGTGCTCAATTTTAGGGATGGATGGAATGACCAACTACATCCTTTCCTTTGGTCTGCAGTCACCATCGAGACCTACAAGCAAGAATTACAATTCCTCTTTTCCCAATGAGGAAAATGGAGTTTGAGGGGTTCGAAGGGCCACACAGCGGTAGGAGGCCATGCTAGGCTGAAGCCCAGGTCTTCTGGTTCTTTGTCTAGGGCAATTTTCTCTACAACATAACTATAGTTAGGCACTGAGAGGGCAGAACAGGTGAGATTATGAAGAAAAGCTGGCAGAAACAAGTTAACACAGCAAGCCTGAGACTGCTATCTTAAAGTGCTACTCACAAGGATGGCCCCTGGCTGGTGTCTGGAACACGGATTTCAGAAAGGCTCCCACCACCTTAACTGCTAAGAGCGGCTCACTGTGTTTAAACTGTCTGGGTAAACAATGTGTTTTGTTTTGTTTGGTTTTTGGTTTTTTGAGGGGCGGGGAGTTGAGACAGAGTCTCACTCTGTCGCCCAATCTCGGCTCACTGCAACCTCTGCCTCCCAGGTTCAAGCAATTCTCCTGCCTCAGCCTCCCAAGTAGCTAGAACTACAATTGCGTGCCACCAAGTCCAGCTAATTGTTTGTATTTTTAGTAGAGACAGGGTTTTACCATGTTAGCCAGGATGGTCTTGATCTCCTGACACTGTGATCCACCCACTTCGGCCTCCTGAAGTGCTGGAATTACAGGTGTGAGCCACCACACCCATCCAATGTGTTTTACATGGAACACCTGTTTTTCTTCTGGAGCCTAGAATTTTGACATATGTTAGATGAAGGTATCTACATGACCAGCCCTCAATAAAAACCCTGGGCACTGAGTCTCTAAGGGCCTTCCCTGGTAGACAGTGCTTCATACCTGCTGTCACAATGCACTGCTGGAGAAATTCAGCACATCCTGTGTGATTCCCCCTCAGCAGTCCTTTGCAGTCTTTTCTAAGATTTTTGGAAGCTTGCTCCTCGTCCCCCCTGAACTTTACCTCATAAGCCTTTTCTCTTTGCTCATTTTGCTTTGTATTCTTTTACCATAATGAATCATAGCTGTATTACCATCTGCTGGGCACTGACTTCTCTAAGTCCTCCTAGCAAATCACTGAACCTGGGAATGGTCCTGGGGACCCCCAACACAGAAGCCTAACAAGAGACGAATTTTGAATTTGTTTTGGAAAGAGTGGCAGGGGTATGGATTAATGGATTCGAACAGGAGGCAATCTAGGCAGGAGAAATGATGTAAGAAAAGGTAGGTGTAGCCAAGTCAGGTCTAGAAAGGCCTACAGCTATTTAGGCTCGGTATGGTGGCTTGTACCTGCAATCCCAGCACTTTGGGAGGTTGAGGCAGCCAGATTACTTGAGGCCAACAGTTGAGACCAGCCTGGCCAACACGGTGAAATCCTGTCTCTACTAAAAATACAAAAATTAGCCGGGCCTGGTGGCAGGTGCTTGTAATCCCAGCTACGAAGGAGGCTGAGGTGAGAGAATCACTTGAACCTGGGAGGCGGTGGTTACAGTGAGCTGAGATCGCACCACTGCACTCCAGCCTGAGAAACAGAGCAAGGCCCTGTCTCAAAACAAAACAAGAAAAAAAGAAGGACCTAGAGCTATTTAACAAGGCTTGAACAGAATTGATGATGAGAAAATCTAGCACTGCTGTTACGAGGTAGAAGCAATGAGGGCTAAAGAGGTCCACTTGTTAGAAAGATCCAGTGTAAGCGAAGTGAAAAGGAACTACTTAAAGTCATACATAGGCCCTATGGGAACTGTTAGTATCAAGGAAGTGAGGAAAGAACTTTGTCTCTGGCTGTCCACAGCTAACACCTGGCAATAGATATCTCTAAGGAAGGTCTGGGGGAATGGTACAGAAAATTTGAGGCAATAGCCCAAAGTATTGGTTTCTGAAATAAAACACCTTAACATAAGGAAATCGGTCTGCTCCCAAATAATCTACTTCCCATTCATTAAGGGTGCCGAAAATCTTCTTCATCTTTTTTTTTTTTTTTTTTTTTTGAGACGGAGTTTCGCTCTTGTTACCCAGGCTGGAGTGCAATGGCGCGATCTCGGCTCACCGCAACCTCCGCCTCCTGGGTTCAGGCAATTCTCCTGCCTCAGCCTCCTGAGTAGCCAGGATTACAGGCACGGGCCACCATGCCCAGCTAATTTTTTGTAGTTTTAGTAGAGATGGGGTTTCACCATGTTGACCAGGATGGTCTCGATCTCTTGACCTCGTGATCCACCCGCCTCGGCCTCCCAAAGTGCTGGGATTACAGGCTTGAGCCACCACGCCCGGCCCTTCTTCTTCATCTTTTTATTCCTCCTATCTACATCCCTCTCACTCCCTAGTGTGTTATTCCTGGAATAACTTCACCCAATGTTTTAATCACTTCTTTGATTCTGCATCTGCTTAGCATGTAAGCCTTTGCTTTATATTAAATTATTCTGCCTTTAACCCAGGGAGGCATGGTTAAGTTTTCCTAGGTTGCATCATAGTTTTCAATACAACTTCTCCCTGAGAAATCCTAAAATCATGAAGACAGAAGAGGGACCTTCATGGTTGCTGCTTAGCTTAGCCCCACCCACCTGCCTCCATCCTCCAGGGCCAAGGACCTCCCTAACAGAAGCCTCAGAACACAGCCTGGCTGTTCTAAGCCATCCACCTTAGAATGGGAGAACAGAAAGGGCTCTGGGTGGTGGCTTTGCATCAAGTCAACCTCATCCTGCTGTACCTTCACACTGGATCCCACTAAAGTAACTGGTCTGCTCCTGGTGACCTGTATTTTTGTTTCCCAAATCTGTTTTATTTCTTCCTGTGTTGGTTCTCTGCCTCCAAAGCTGCCGCTTGCTCTACCCACAAGTCCTGAAAACCAGAATCCTGCCATTGAAACCTGGACCATGCGGCCCCAGCCTCTGAGGCTGCCTACCCTCCCTGCCTGCCAAGGACTCATCCCAGCTTATCCCCACCATACACTGTCCCAGCCCAGCTTCCCTACCCTGGCCCCTGAGGTCTACCTGGTCCAGAGACTGCACAGAGGCAGCAATAGGCTAGTTTAAATGATGGTCTACTCTAACATACAACAGTTATTCTGCTGGTTTTTCACTTAAATGTGAATGCCTTTAGGCTAGGCATGCATTTTCCAGCTCCCCAGAAACCCCACAATGCTCTGTAACTATTAACCACATAGAAGGAGAAAACCAGTTTTACTGAATATCTGCCAGACTCCAGGATCTGTGTATATATTGACCATTTAATCTTTCTAGTAACCCCAAGTGGCAGATATTACTATTTCTAGTTACCAGTGGGAACACAGACACTATGAAAGTTGGGCAACTTGCCCAGATTATACAGCTACAACCAGCAAATCATAAATCCAGATTTGAACCCAGGCCCACCAGATTCTGAAGTCCACACTGTTTCCACCACACCATTAGGGAAAGTAGCAGGTCTTGACTAGGCTATGTATTAGGGAGGCTCCTCTGCAGCCACGTGGCAAGGCAAACTGAATACAGATGGACCTGGGGCAGGAAAATGAGTCAATGGATAATTAACATTGCCCAGGAAAGAGTCCCTGTGGCCCTGAACTGGGAATAGACAATAGGTCAGGACTGGCTGAGGGGGACAGGATAAAGGTAACTGAGGAACAGCAGCAATCTCTGCAACAGAACACAGAGAAAGAGGCAGCCTGGGACGAATGTCTGAGGTGCTCCTGAAACATCATGGTGAAGATTCCGAATACTGCAAATCAGAGTAGCCAAGAAGAGAACTGGGTGAGGGATGGAAATTTGACTAGCCTTTCCTTAAGAGTGTTGGTTTAAGTCTTGGGAATGGAAAAGGGCTCTAAGGAGAGAAGCACAGGGAATCGAAATCCAGCCGAGGGCCCAGCCTTGGCCCCACCTGCACTTGCAGGACAGAGGAGGACAAGAAGCTGGAGGTCAAGGAAGGGAACGCTGGTGGGGACAGGGTGGCAGCCTCCAAGGAGATCAGCAACAGCTGCAGCGTGGGCTGGTATGGGCTGGCGACTGAGGAGTACCAAGTCCTGGAAACCTACACTGGACAATCAGAGCAGCACAGCAGTGCACGGTGCCGAGTGAGGAGCAAGGGCAAGAGCTGGGCACTCCAGAAGCTTGTCAGTGAAAGAAAGAGAAGAGAGACTGAGGAAACGTGGAGTTTTCTTATTAACAGAAAACTCAGCTTATGGGTAAGGGAAGGAGTCTTTGGGAGGGAGGGATGGAGGGAACCTTTCTCAGAGGGAGGAAGAGAGAGCTAACTTGGGAGTGTGGGTGGAGAAGCTGCTCTCACCTTGATCTGGAGGAGAGCACTTCCTCCTTGAGAGAGAAAAAAGAAGCCATGGAAAAATTTCAGGAATGTTCTGAATTGGTAAGGAGGGAAGTTGATGGAGCCTGTGGTGTCAAGAAATGAGACATGGGGTTCTGCTGAAAATAAGTAAGATGGCAGCTCTTGCTCCACACACATATCCTGGGAGGGCACTTACTGGGCTTTGTCACTTAATACTGGGTCTCCAAGACCTACACATCACATGGGTCCGGCACAGGGTACAGACCATTTGCATGTAAACTGCTTTTGCTACAGCACAACCCAAGCATGCACCACCGCCTGCCTCCAGGTACCAATATGCAAAACGTGCTCATCACTGTCACTGTGAACAGACTGAATTCCTGTCTGGACTAATGAGTATTTTCACTCTTATATCCTGTCTGGTCCTCAATGCCACTTTTTCACAAGATAGGACTTGCTGGAGGCCATATGGGTCAAGGCTGCTGTGTGATCCTTCAAATAAGGCTTTCCTCTGGGCAAGGCAACAAATTCATGCTGGCCCACTCCTGGTCGGCAGCAGCAGCAGGGGCCTGCAGCTCTGAGGACTGCCTCTGCCCTGCAGCGTGCTCCCCTCTGCCCCAACACACACAGATACTCACCTGCTACACCTTTGCTGGAGCTAGAACTCCTATTGAGAACCCCAGAAAAAGCCACAACCTGGGCAGAAAAAAAGGCTCTACAGAGATTGAGTCAGCCACCGACCCCTGATCCGTGGCAAAGATGTCAGGCGGCTTTTGATGAATGCCTTGCTGGTTCTCTCATCCCCCTCCTGCCCAGAATCCTGGCTTCCTTTAGTTAAGACACTATGGGAAAAGCATAGGGATTGGAGAAAGAAGACTTGGGATTGGGTCCTACCTCATACCTACATGCTGTCAGGTCTTTCAAATCACTTCTGAGCCTCAGCTTGCAACCAGGTAAAGTGGAAGGAATGGCACATGCCTCTCCCTTCTCCTGAGGAGGTAGTGAGAAATTAATCAGATGAAATGGGCTACTTGTGAGCTGTACAGTGTTATTCTAATTTCTGGATCTAAGCAAGTCCTGCTGGGAGCTCAACCTGTCTCTCTCAAGCCTACCCAGCACTTGTCCCTGGCAGCTCAGAGCCCAAGGGAGACAGCACCCCAAATGAATTCAATTCAACTCAGCGAACATCTGTCTAGGCCTACTCTAAGCCAGGTTCCAAGACACACATGAACACAGACATGGGTCTTCCCGGAGCTTGCCTGGCTGGGCAGAGCTAACAGAGTGAATGCCTGTTCCTGTGGCAGTTAGGTCAGAGTCTCCAGCTGAACTTGCTCCACGTTGCTGAGGACAGACCATAGAGGCATTATCAGAATCTGGGTCCCCACGCCAACCCCTCAGACTGAGGAGGAGGTGGGCAGATATGGCTCTCTGCAAAGCCAGGATGAGGCGCCTGGAGCAAGGGAACCAGACACCTCCACGCTCCAGGCCTGGTCCAGTAGTGGAGCTCAGGGGGCTATCCCGATCAGTGCTTCACCCTCACAATCTGGGAGATGTAGAGAATAAGCCTGCTCAGTCTCACGAGGGTGTCATGGAGGACAAAATGAGAACAAAACGATGAGAACAATGAGAAAATGCTTTGGAAAGGAATGAACTTTACAAACAAATAATTATTTTTCCTTCAAGGTCCTCCGCAGTAAAGTTGAGCTAATCACTGAAGGTTTGTCTAAATACTGAGGTGCCTTTCCCATTGCTAGCCTAACAGGACTGACTCAGGTATCTAGCTTCCCCACTGTGCAAATCATCCCCACTAAAACAACCCAGTCCCCATCTGTAGTTAGGATGTTCAGTGGACCGTAGCTCTTTTCCACATTCTTTCCATCACCCTATTACCCAAGTTGACCGGGGACTCAGGTGATGCCTGCTGACGGAGAAAAACACCACCTTTCTACCTATGGCAACAGGCCTCAGCTCAGAGGCGCTGGGTGGGAAGAGTCACCTTCGCCATCACTTCCCCTGCTCCAGATGCTGGTGCAGGCACTTCCTCCTGCCTCTCTCCAGGACCCAGGAATCTGAGAGTTGATCCGTTCTATAGAGTTACAACAAAAACAGTAACTGTAACAAAATAAAAAACATTTACAGGAGCTAGGCGTTTTCCACTTCCATGTTACATTCATCGTTCCTGCAGCAATTTCTGTCTCTCTAGTTCAAATTAGAGTTAGGAATGGAAGTGTTTCCACCCAAACCATCAATTACATTAACACCCCTGTTTTCAGCTTTGTAAGTATATAAGGCAGAGCAGCTGCACTGGGATTTGAGAGGTCCTAGCCCAGCCTTTTGCTGCCTAAAATTATCTCGCACACACCCAGAACTGTTCTATTCCCAGAAATGCTTCAACTAATTTCTTTGCATCTCAGGTCTTCCAGACCCTTTTAAAATGCAAATATCTCTGGAGGAAACAATCATATTCCATTGGCCCTAGCCCAGTTCTCACACAGCACCTGCCCGGTAAATATTTACAGAATTAAACTGGTTACCAGATGCCTATCCTCACTGGCGGTGGGGTCAGAGCCCAGGGCTGTAGAGGGCGGAGGGGCAGCCCCAGCAGGGAGCCTCGCTTGTTTTCACCAACCTCAACACTCGCCTAGGGCAGCTCTGCCTGCCACAGCGAGATAACTGAGTTCTCATGAAAGCAAATCTGAAATAGCCAAATATGGAAACTTAGCAGGAGGAGACAGAACGAGCAGAGAAAGTCGGCTGGCCGGAGTGGCTCAGTGGGACCCGCAGCAAGAGTGTGGCCCCGATTATCACCCAAAATTCTCAGAACCACCAAGATCCTGCAGAAGAGGAACAAGGTGGAGATAATCTGGTACAGAGAACTCAGAATCTGCGAATTCTGTGGGTGCCTCTGGGCAACTCCTTCCAACTCTCGGAGCTTTGGTTTGCGTCAAGGCTGCTCCCCCAGAGCTCGCCTTCTGGGGGAGGGGGTTAGCTGCTTTCTAAAGGAAGACGCGCAAACGAACAGCGGGTGGAGGCTTCCATTCCTTGCAGTCTTGAAGTTTCATTCTGGAGTTGCTTTGCTTGGAAAGCCCTGCAACGGTGGAGGGGTGCCACCGGGTGCGGAAGGGGGCCAGGGCCTGGTTTGAGTGCGGGTGTGCGGGGCGTGCCTGAAGGCCCTCCCCGCCAGCGCACCCCAACGGAACCTGGCCCCTCCGGTCCTCAGCCGACCTCTGGACCAGCTCCCCAGATCGGGATCCCCAGTCTCTGCCCTCGCCACACCTCTCTCCCGACCGCGCGCGCTCTCCTGGGGCGGTCGGCGGCCACCTGCCCCGTCGGTCTTCCGCGAGCCGGGGTCCCCCTGCCCCCCGCTGCCCAGCCGCCGCCTCGCGCCCTCCCCGCCGCCAGCAGGAGCTTTCGGTTTCAGAGTAACTCAGACGAGGCGAAAAGCGCTCGCCGCTGTCCCCACCCCGGCCCTTCCGCTGCGAGGGTGCCCGGGGCGGCGACCCGCCGGACTCACGTGGGGCTGGGCGTGCTGTCTTCGCGGGGCGGGTCTGCAGGCGCTCGGCTGATCCTGGGCTGCGGACCGCTGGGCGGCCAGGCGGGTACAGGTCTGGGGCGGGGCCGGCAGCGGGCGGGGGAGGGGGCGGCGGGAGGAGGGGGCGGAGGGGGGACGCGGGCGGGCGCAGGGGAAGGGCTGGCGCGCAGGAAACCTCCCGGGCGGAGGCCGAGGCCATCACCCAGGCGAACCTACCCGCTTCAGAACCGTTGGTACCTACAGTCCAGTCATCTGATTTCCCTCACGTGCGTTTGAATTGTGGCTGTCCTGCTCTTCCATCAGGCACGACCAGGCTCAGCCAGTTCTTTTCTGGATTGATCCATTTGCTCAAGGCCTTCAAATCTGGCTCACATCAGTCCTTCCCGGACATTCCTTCATGGTAGCACAAATTTGCCAGCCCTCCTCTTGCTGTTGCCCTAACACTAGCAATCTCTGAGAGTTGTAGTGCTCCCGGTTATATCAAGGGTTGGCTTCCCAAACATTTCCTGTGATCCTCAAAACAAGCTGGGGAAGGAGGCCTGGTCATCCGCATTTTACAGATGAGCTCTCTGAGGGCCAGAGCAGCAACGTGGAGCCATGTATCCAAGGTTAGACGTATTCAGCAAGCTCTGCAGCTAGAACTTGAATCTAGGTCTC